TTGAATGTACCCTCCCCCATTGATCATTAAATTCAAAAATGTCTTATAGTTACATTTCAAGCAGCCAATTTCCTTAGCTGAAACTTCTTCTTTGAGGCTCCTTCCTCTGATGACTCTGCTTTCTGTCAAGTTGACCACTCTCTACTTGATTCATATCTAGGTTATTTCTAGGTTCTGGATATTATGAATAATTCTTCTGTGAACATTGTTGAGCAAGTGTCTTTGCGGTATGATTGTGTATCTTTTGGGTATATGCCCGAAAGTTGTATTGCAGTGTCTTGAGGTACGGTGATCCCCAACTGAGAAATTGCCATACAAGTTTTTACTCCCACCAGCAATGGAGGATTGTTCCCCTCTCTTCACATCCTGTCCAGCATAAGCTGTCATTGCTGTTTTTGCTCTTACCTATTCTAATCTGTATAAAATGGAATCTGAGTGGTTTTGAATTGCAATTCCCTGATGATTAAGGATGTTGAACGTTTTTTACCTGTCCTCCTCTCATTTGAAATTGTTCTGTTGAGAATTCTCTGTTTAGATCTTTCCCCCATATTTAATTGGATTATTTTGTAATTTGATGTCTAGTTTTGTGAGTTCTTTGTACATTTTGTAGATCATCCCTCTGTTAGATGTGGGGTGGGTGAAGATCTTTTCCCAATCTATAGAGAGTCCTTTTGGCGTGTTGAATGTGTTCTTTGCTTTACAGAAGCTTCTCAGTTTCAAGATGTCCCATTTATTAATTGTTGCTTTCAGTGTCTGTACTACCAGAGTTTTGTTTAGGAAGTGGTCTACATTTTTTATGTTGTTGTACATTGACTAAATGATGGTTATTTTATTCTATTATCAGAAAATATGAAAATCTACAGCAATCAAACTTGTGGGGTTTTTTTTTTTTTGTTTGTTTGTTTGTTGGTTGGTTTGTTTTATTGGTTTTTTTTTTTTTTAGTTTTGTTTTGTTTTTGTTTTTGTTCATTGTTTTATATTTCAAGACATGTTTTCTCTGTGTAACAGTCCTGGCAGTCCTGGAACTCACTTTGTAGACCAGGCTGGTTTCAAACTCACAAAGATCTACTTGCCTCTGCCTACTGATTGCTGGGACTAAAGGTGTGTGCTACCACCACACAACTTGTGATGTATTATAGATTAACTTTCAAATGTTAAATGTGACAAAGACACTGCATTCACTAATTCAACTACATACTAAAATTCTAAGTTTGCATTTTCACATCTTTATGTTAGCCTGTTATGACCAGATGAGCTGAGAAATGATGAGAGATGTCATTCTGTAAATATGTTTTTCATACTGGCAAACAGCAAAGCAAGATATGTGGGAATAGGAGACAAGGAGGATTGGAGGAAGTAGGAGGGAGGAGTCAACATGGAGAGTCTGGATAGAGCAGGATGCCAGCCCGACTCTCCGGTAAGATGAGACCATGTGGAAATACTTAGATTAATAGAAATGGGTTAATACTTAAGAGAACGGTAGCCGATAAGAAACAGGTAACTGACCAACCACATTATATCTAATACAGAGTCTCTGTGTGTTAATAGGGGCTGCAGCCGCAGTGGGTCCACACCGACTGTGGGGGGGGACCCATGCTACTTACATATGGTGCTGCAATGTGGCTAATAAGAATTTCTACTTAAAATTTAACAAAAGCTAAAAAATGCTTTTAGAAACAAAAGAACAATGATAAGCAAGGCTTCTCGATAGCAGCATGTATCTCGATTGGACACTGTTTTGCTAGATGCACGCAGAGATTTGTGCGGGTCCTTTAAGGGAGATTTCCTTTGTCAGCATAAGGGGCAAAAAAAAACTGCATGGCTTATAAGAAACTCTGCTAACAATTTATTGGTGTGTACCAGAGCTGGCAATGACAATGACCACATTTCCAAGCCGGCAACATGGTGTTGGATGGCAGCATAGACCAAGGCAGTGAGCACAGCTCTCAGTTCTGGTGGTAAAATAGCTGCTGCCATCTTGGATAGACCGCAGCTAACACATCTATGACTTTAATTTTAGCAATGTTGTTGTTCGCCAGATAAAAGACTAATGGCTACAAAAAAGGTAAAGATTTACAGTAAAGACAGATTCACATTAAGAAATCCTCTAAAGGTTTACAGTGATTTCTAAAATATTTGTAGGCTTGGGAGAGAAAAGAAATAAAATGTTTTTAAAAAGACAGAAGGAGCTGGGTGTGGTAGCACACGCCTTTTATCCCAGCACTCAGGAGACAGAGGCAAGCAGATCTCTGTGATTACAAAGTAAATTATAAGACAGATAAGAGTTACACAGTAAAACCCTGTCTCAAAAAAAAATAGTAGTAAAAAAAAATCAGAGTAATAAAAAAGCCACATTAAGATGGAGAAAATCTGGATACTGTATGGTATTATATTGTTTTTGGATTGTTTAACTGCTGAGGAAATAACAACTGTTAAAACAAATGCTGCTGGATCAATCCAATTTATATATTTTAAAAATTCTTTAACTTCAAAATTTAAGTCTAAGGACAAGTTACTGGGGAAAAGGATTTCTATTTTTTATTTCCATAGAAAATGAAAAGCTGTGGATTCCTTCCAGACTAATGTGGTTTGATAAAGCCAGACCCCCTGAAAGAGATTTCCTGGTGATCCAACATTCAAAACAGCTTGAACAAGGCAGTCTTGCAGACTGCAGCCAGGGTTTCTATGTCTTCTTAGGATCCCCAATGACAGTGCCCCCTACCAGCAGGAAGCAATTTGGAAAGAACAACGCCCAAATCCCCAAATATTGTTTATAAATGTTTGTTTTCATTTAAATGGGGTTGGTTATAAATGGTTAATGACCACAACCAATCTCTTTTTAAAGGTAAAAAGGGATTATGGTTTAGATATGAATACTTTGTTTTGGAATGGATTTTCATTTATTTATACAATTTTGTGATATGTATATTTCTCCTCTTGTTAAGGTATTGTGTAGAAATGTAATGTATAATTCAATACAGATTATAGATAGTACCTATGATAGTCAACTATTATAGTTAAGTTAGTTAAGATTTCTACATATATAGACAGCTATTTGAGATAAATATGCATTCTTCAAACCTTTCAAAGACATACATAATATGGCATTTAAAACGGTTTAGGGTTTTTCTTAGCAGTGAGACACAAATGCTCCTGGAAACACCACCTGTGTCAGAAAGGAAGATGGACATTGAAGAAACGTGTTATGAAATTTACTTTCAATATGGCAAGACTAGCCATTTGGACAAGATACTGCTCTTTCCTGGACTGTTTGACTTTATGCTGTATAAACTGGACATGCAGAACCCACAGAAGAGTGACTGCTGATTTAAGATGGACATTGCAACAGAGTTCCTGCTTCATGGAAGAGTCTGCCAGACAGTCTGCAGGACACAGAGAAAAGTGACTAACAAACTGCCAATACAAGGAAAAGTTTAACGATTTCTGCTTTGCTGAAGAGTCTGCCAGGCACACTATGGCCTATGGGCTGAAGATGGAAGATTACAGAAGAACTTCGGGTGACTGACCAGGCAGTGAGTTGTCTCTGTCATTTCTAGTGTTTAAATATTATGCTTCTTTGGTCTTTGAAGGAGCAGAAGACAGATAGTATGGTTATAGTTTTCCTTACTTAGGATTAAAAATAAGCTACATATAGGACTTCAGATTCACAAAGATAGGATAGATGATGGAATATTTTCTTCAAATCTTGCTAAATGTTAATGGACTAAATAGTGTTAACTGTGATTCTTACTTGATAAGTGTTGTGTTATATATTTTGCTTTGTTAATGTTAAAACCCTTCTTATTTTAGATAGAAAAGAGGAGATGATGGGAGATGTCATTCTGTAAATATGTTTCTCATATTGGTTAATGAATAAAGCACTGTTAGCCAATAGGAAAGGAAGATATGAGGGACTAGGAGACAAGGAGGAAAGAGGAAGTAATAGAGAGGAGTCAGCATGTAGAGACAGAAGAGAACAGAGGTCTCAGCCCCACTCTCCAGTAATATGAGACCAAATGGAAATACTTAGATTAATAGAAATGTGTTAATACTTAAGACAGAGCTAGACGATAAGAAATAAGTAACTGGCCAAAAGTGGTATATCAATTTCTGTGTCTCTGTGTGTTATTTGGGGCAGGTGTGGTGGTGGGTCCAGGCCAGTGGGGAAAACTACTTGTATCAGAGAAACATATGCAGGACTGTACATTATTACAAATCCATTATGTTACATTTATTTTAAGATTATTAGGTAATTTTTTTTTAAAAAAAAAATCACCTTTTAAAGAGTTGTATGTAGTAGGAAAGGTACCAAAAGTGTATTGTAAATGTACTGGTCAATTAGAAAGTTTGTGGGAATTACTACAAAGGAAAATATATTGTCTTGCAAGGCCATTATGAAAATGATAAGATCAAGTTTTCTCACATGAGAATAGATTTTTCTCCTGATCACTCATTTAACTATGATTGCTTACTTTTTCTACTATATCATATATATTTTATCTGCATATACTAAACCAAAAATTTTCCCCTCAGCTAGAACAGTAGTTGTTTTTCTGATAAATGCATATATTTGATGTATTCTTAGTGACTGTTAGCTTAATTCACATAAAGTACATTATCATTAGTTTGACCATGTGGAACAATAGTCAGTAAGCAAAGTATCTTTTTTGTACTAACAGTAATTTATGAAGGACCTGATTTGCCTACTAAAAATATCTGCATGAAGCAACATCTAGAAACAACACAAAACCTATACTAGGTACAGGTCTCACCTTTTTTTTTTTTTTTTTTTTTTTTTTTTTTTGACTGTATACATTGGCTTCCAGGATTATATTAACTGCAAGCACATACAAAGGAAGTAGCACATGGGCTCTGAATAAGAGTTTCTGTGATTTACAAGAGAGCTTAAGAAGCCTTTTCTACATCAGGGCTGAAGCTCTTACTCAAACATTAAAAACACTGTTTCATGGTGTGCAGACCCTGTTCATGTCACCACTTACATTATTTTTTTGTAAGACCTGCAGCGCCTTGTTGACATTGTTCAGAGCATGGACTCTTGTAGATCCTTTTTCTTTGGGCTAAAAAAAAGGAGAGAAATGCTGTTTACTATGGAACAAAGAGACAAAAAAATCTACCTGAAAAGCCAAGGATGTATAAATTTCACTTTTAAGTTTGAATATTTTACATTTAAATGAATACATACTGTGAAACATTTATTTTAAAAAAGAAGTTTCAGCATTGTGTTTATTGTCCTTGGTATAGCACATCTTTAGCATAAAGAATCCACTTCCTGGGAAAGAAAGCACATTTTTTTTTTTTTTTCCTTTACGGTACAATCTGGGATGATTACATATTCTTTTTTTTTTTTTTTTTTTTTTTTTTTTTTTGCTCAGAATGTATTATTATAAGTCCATCAATGATGAAAAACATTAACAAAAAGTAACCAGTAAGATATAAAAGTAAGTTTATTTCTCTACTTTTTCAGAAAAGTTTGAAGAAGATGTGAGACTGCTGGGTTGTGTAAATTCACTGTCTAGCTAACCATACATGCTGATGTAAGCAACCCTAATTTAAATCAGTAGATCATAAATGAGTGGGGGAGGGATAATAGAAAAGAATAAGAGGGAGGGAACCAGGAGGTAGAAGTGGATGTAAGTCTGATCAAAATACATTGTTTGAAATTGTCACATACATCACAATAATGTACAGAAATATCAAATATATAATATTATATGGTCAATAACACAGAGCTCTCCCATGCAAATGGTCAGTCATTGTGCAGAGAATGAGAGTCTCTGAGGTGCTCAGAACTAAATGGGACTTATTACATGTCTTGCCCTAATTCCAAGAAATATTTCCAGAAGAGGAAAGAATTAGAACATAAGAGCCAGAGGTTTTTGATAACAAGAAAAATCATGTTTTCCAGACACAACATGGCCAATGCCCATTGGAACAAACATGCACTGATTGTGAAAACAAGTTCTGTTCAAGACAATATCTCAATATAGAAGAAAAAGGTGGACATGAAATTCTACTACTAGCTGCAGAGCTATTGCTATTTCATAGCAGCTGGGAAAGGAAGACTGCTTTTTCATTAATGATTTGATTATTCCTAAACTGTCTACATACTAGGACAGGTCTTACTCCCAAGACTAGCTTGGCAATAGAAACTGGGATCAATGCAGAAAGAAATGTAAAAAACAATGATTTTTAAAATTTGGTAGGAAGGCTTAGGGGAATGAATAGGTTAGTAATGGCCAGAGTTGGGGTGGGAGAATAAATATTTTCAAAATGCATTGTATAAAATACTCAAATAATTAAGAAACATTGCTAAAATATGTAATGATTAATAATAAGATTATTTCTTTGAGTACTACCTAGTCAATCTATAGAATTCATAATTTCAATAAACAGGGTTCTTAGTTTATAAATTTGTCCCAAAAGTTATATTCCCATCCTTTAGTTTTAACAATCACATAACTAATTAAAATATACACATCATCTCATTTTTCTTAATTGACTAGTTTTAGAAATTCTATTGTTATGTTGCTGGTATTTATTACCAACTTATTATTTTTGTTGGTCTTCCCTTAATGCAAGGATTCATTAGCTATCCCCAAGCTACAACAGAAAACCATTTCCTATTCATAATTTCTTCTTGATATCTTCAACAATGACATAGTTGGAACAAACCACCTACCAAAAGCAGTGATTATACAGCTCTCACTTCAACTTTAGGAGGACTAATGTTTTGTAAAAGGAGTGACCTCCAAAGCCTGTGCTTAGCTTTCTGCTCTGCCACATTTGGACTATATGACTTTGAGAAATGTCTTAGTGTCCCCATACTCCAGTTTTCTCACCTGTCAAAAATAAAACAGCTGTTCCACAACTTTAAGTATGACTGTATACTAAAAATGTGTTTAGATGGGGGATTTTAACAAAAATCATTCAGATGTAGGGTGTATGGTGTTTGTAATACAGGCAAAGTACCTCACATTATTATTAAGTAAATTGCAATGCTAATTGTTAAATACCAATCACACATGTAATTATCCTAAACTTAGTAATTAACAGGTATTTGCAGAAATTGTCAGTTGGAACAAGGCTCCATTTCTTTCTCTGTGCATATGAGGTCAGAATTTTCATATTTATTTTCTCTTCTCCTGTCCCTACCCTTTATATGTATAGAATAAATGATGTAAATTTTTACTTTTTAACTTTATCCTGTGCTTTCCATGAGTCTCCTCATCCTTCTCAAGACTTCCATATCCTAGAGAATCTTACTCTTTGAACTGGCTGTACAAACTTCCAACATTTACCTTAATCTCTAAGTTAACTTTACTAACAAATACCCTTTGTTAAAGACATATATGTCTTGTTCCTTCAACTTCCTTCATCTCCAAGATAGCCTCATTAAAGGGAATCTGCAATTTTCATATCTAAGAACATTTAATCCTTGAATATCTAAGTAAAAAACAGCCTGTATTTGAGTGTTTTCCCACATATCACCATGAAGAGCAAGAAAACAAAGGTATAGAAACATCTTTTTAAAGAAAAGCTTTGAAATATCACCATAAATGTGCAGATAATGAAAACAGGTTATGAAATAATAACCTTAAACAAACAACTGAAAGACAGTGAGGTTTATTTATTTCTTTATGAACAGAACTGACTGCATGAATACAGATTCCAAGGCACTTATTTCTCTATCAATATATTAAAACACACACATCTGCATGTATGCTTATATATATAAAGTGTACATATATTGAAATTAAGACTAAGCCTACACTGTTCCTTCCAAATGACTGTCTGACAAAATTTTAAATGTGAAGAATTTGATTATTTTATTTCAAGAAGTCATCAACCCAAGTTAAAAGTTCTTAAAAATGTATCAAATATACAAATAGGTAACAACCATGTAAGTAACATTACACAGATTGGATATATTATATTAAGAAATATAATATAATATAATATAATATAATATATGCATTAACAATTAGTGAAAAAAGAGGCTATGAATTTGAGGGAAAGTGTGAAACAGTATATGGCTATATTGGAGGGAAAAAGGAAAAGGGAGAGATGTAATAATTATGTAATAATCTCAAAAGTAAATGGGTAAATAAACTATTTGAATAAATGTACCAACATATTATTAATCATATATAGCTATTGAAGTTCATTAAAAATGAATGCATAATGTATCTTTTTAGTATAACTACAATATTTTAAAATCACTGTCATAGCCCTGCTTACTTTATGGAGCAAAATATTATTTCAGCAAATTAAAGGCAAAAATAAGTTCAATGGAATTTAAGAGTGAGAATTGAATTTTAGAAATTTGTTTACAAAAAGTTTTCAATAGCAAGCAGAAGCAAATGTTTTTCAAGGACTCTCAGAATATATAAAAGCACAGAAAGCAAAATAGGTAAACAATATAACAAAGCAAAATTCTGGGCAATGTCTAACAGAACAGGGACCAACTTGGCTTGGTGTAAGTGAATTGCAGGAGGCAACTCAGAGATAGGATTTGGGCCAGATTAACTTTGATGGACAGCTAGAGTTTCTTTGCAAAACCTTCATACATGTTGGGGGGGGAGACACTCATGTATGCACATACTTAAATGCACACGCTGGAAATCTATGGTAAGGAAAAAAAGATTAAAACAATAATTGAAAAAGACTCATGAGAAATGCAGAATGGATGACTGTACATAGACTGGAGTCTTAAACCCTACTTATAAGGATGATAGAAATCTAAAAATAAAAACTTTAAGTACAGAGAAATTTTTTCCATAATGAGACTTTCATCAACTGAATTCTTCTGTGACTTTAGTGACATACAAGATTGTATAATCATGCTATCACCCTCATAGGAATGTTCTAAAATTATACGAGTTAAAAATTCTCAAAAGGAAATTAAATTTTCATCTCTTAGGCTTTTGGGTTTAAAAATATATGAAAAATACAAAATAACACAAAGTTTAAAGTATTTATACATAAAATCCATTATACAATTATTCCTTATGAATGAGTTTTTTAAAGTAAAGTCATTATTGCTTATTAATTAAGAGACTATATTGCTGAAAATTTTTACTTTATTATTTACTTTATTATTCTGCAACAAGATAGACAATGCCATAATGAATATTTTAATATGCATTATTTAGTTCAGTAATAAGTACTAAGTACTTTATTGCTTATCTGAACAATACATTGATGACGCAAATAAAACTGCTTCTTTCAGTTCTGACACTTTATTGAGGTTACTGAAAATTTCAAAATAAATTTCCTGGACTAAAAAGATATCTTAGTGTTCAAGTGTGGGGACAAGAATATGAGGTCCTAGCATGTATGTAGTAACCAAGTAGGCATTGTAACCTGTTTGTAATCACATGGATCAGGAGGCAGAAACAGGGACAACAGAAGAAAGCTGACTGAATGGAGGAGCAGAACTGATGAGGTCTAGGTTCAAGTGAGAGATTCTGCCTCAATCATAAAGTAGAGAGCAACTGAGGAAGATATCCAAATCCAACCTTTTGTCTCCACACACACATGTAAAAATGTGCTTTTATGTCCACATATAAATGTGCATTCAGTCCAACTACAAATACATGAGTAAGAAAGAAAAGAAAGAGAGAAGGAGGGAGAAAGATAGGGAAGAGAGAGAGGAAGGAAGAGAGGGAGGGACAGTGAATGGAAGGAAGGAAGCAAGCAAGGAAGGAAGAAAGGAAGGAAGGAAGTGCAGATAGAAGAAGGAAGATTCCTACCAGTTTTTGTCCTGTCAGGCCTTCCAGGAGGTCTAGGAGGCGTTTCCCATCCTGCAGGTCACTGAAGAGGTTGTCTATGTGCTGCTTTCCAAACTGAAATGAAAAAACATAGCCACTTGTAGAAGAAATCACAATTTTTATTATCTGTATCTATGATGAAGTCTTTGGAAGTTTACAACTATATTTAAATGTATTTGATGTATCTAATTAATAAGTAACCAAGAGTAATGGATGAACAAGAAAGCCCAAGTTGATAAGCAGAATCAATGAAAATAACTTTAGGACAAATATATTTGAACTGTTAATGATGGTAAATTGAAAAGTCAAAGCATAGTTCATCCAATTAATCTGTCAGATTGTTAAACATCCTTTGTCACATTTTGTACACAATTATTCAGAAGTTCCTGTTCTCATTTTAAAACAAATCATATTTGGTGAAGATCTGGTTTATTTAGTTAGTTAGTTTTAATCCTACTACACCTGGTAATCTCATGTGTTCTCCCACCCAAGTACCCAATACCTAGCTAGTCTTTCATCCAGGTATCCACATATCTAACCATGCTTAACTTTTGGAATCAGATGACATCAATGGTGTTCAATATGGTATAGCTGTAGATGGAAAATCTGTTTCAAACAGGGTAAAATCAGTCTACTAAGACGTTTTACTTATTTTTCTAGGGTATTTCCTTAGAAATTCCATTAAAGAATCTAAATTTTCTATAATCACTAATAATTCCTAAAATTCTTAGAGTAACTACTAATGGGAGGCATGGAACTGTGCAAATGGATCTAATCACCGTGGTATCATTTCTGTCATTTTAACATAAATGTGTTCATCTCGAAGGAACAGGTGAGACAAAGAATTTGACTATGCATCTCCTTTGTTAAAAAACAAAAACAAAAACAAAAAATTAGACGGTGATGAAACCAACATTTTGCATCTGGGGAAGGAAACCTCCGTTTCTTCCATCTTAACCATGCTACTTTTCTCCACCTTATTATCTTTCAATTGTGAGATTACAGATATATTGTTTCTTCTTATATATATTCCAAAATCTTTCCTATTTTTGATTTAAAAAATAACACCCACAATTGCTTCGTATGAGATTACTTTCATCTCTTTTATCATCCAGATTATCCACAAAGACTTAGTTAGTATAGCACTGAAGTTCATGGAGCAACAATAAACCCAATTGAGGTGCTGGATGGAGCTCACATTGGTAAATCAGACACACAATACCCAGATGACAGATGGTTTTCCACATGGGAAAACATATTCATGAATAATAATGCCTCACACAGGAAATAAGTGAATTCAGGAAAACTTAACTGTTGAAAAGACAGTCTGTGGAATTGATTCAGGAATTGTTTTCCCAAAGTGTCCAATAACAGACCTAACACTAGCTTCTAAGTGATTTGAAACTACTTATGAGCTACTTAGATTGCAAACAAACATTGAAACTTATCATGAAAATCCCTGTATACAAGGAATAACCCATTGATACCTCTAACATTAAAGACATAAAAGTTTTTTTTGCTTCCTACAACCAGATAGCAATGTCAATGTTGGGACCTGTTGCTGCCTAAGTATGTGCCTCCTGTGCAGAAAAACCTAGCTCCTGTAGGCAAGTCAGCCATTCTTATATGCTCAGTTTTTATGATATGAGAGCAACAATAACCTATTTTCACAAACTATTTTTGTAGTGAAATTATTCCCCAATAGTTCTTTCTGAAATTTTCAGAGTAAGAATTAAAATAATACAAAATGCCATGATTCAAGTTTTTAAAGCAGGTTTATCATACATAATGTATAAGCACATCTTAAAAAGACAGTGACATTTTATGACTCTGAGGAGACGAGTGTATGCTTCCTAATAATACCACAAAGATCTTCAAATGTAAACATGAATAATACTGAGGTTCTGTTATATAATTGAATTGAAATACATCTTGAAATGTTGTTTATTTCAGGAGCAAGTTGGATAGAAACAATTGAGAAAAGAATGTCTTCTAAAATTATAAAAAGATGCATCTTGAAGAGAGCAATGTGCCAGTTTTAAATAAAAGAAAATATATTTTTCTGAAAAAGATTGTTGTTAGACCATATTATACATCTATATTAATTGCCAGATAAACTCTGACAAACCAAGGAGAACATGGATGGCAAAGTGGCATTTATTCAAAAAAAGAGTAATAAAAGTTGATAAATATAATGCATATCTCAGGGCATCTAACAAAAGTATTGAAGAGGATGAAACATGCTTTGGTTTAGGAAAACAAAGTAGAGATACAGAATGAGAGAATCTTGTCTATATTCCAAATCTGACACAGGTTTCTTATAGTCAAATGATTCTGCTTAGCTAAAATGCTCCAAAGTATATCTAATAGATGATCATAATGCAAGGAAGCAATGGGTTAATAGTAAAAAGACTGGTCTTATTAATTTATCAATTTTCAAAACACATACATAATCAAATATTCACTGAAGTATCACAACAGAAATCCAAGTCTTATTTGTTCCATTTATCATTCAGAAGGAACATGCTTTCAGAAAATGAGACAGAATGAATTTATCCTGGCTGTGGCAAGATCAATTCCTCAATATCTGATGGTATATCAGTTCTGTGAAACCACATGCTGAAGCACTTTTTGCCATCCTTTCTTAATATATATTTGCTTTAATGTAAAAGCAAATATTAAAGCATTTTGAGATCAATTTCCATCTACCAAAGCAATTCTCAATTAAATGTCACAGAGCTTCAGATGCTTAGTCTACAGAGAGTATGACCACCCCACAGGCAAAAAAAAAAAAAAAATCAGCTCATTACTCCTGCATCCTGCACTTTGTTTTAACTACTCTCTACTCATTGTATATTATTATAGCAAAAGGAGCACAGGTTCTAGAGGCAGCAAAATCTAATTTTGACACTCAAGTGCCCTGTTAATTCTCTAGCTGTGGTATCCTAGTAAATAAAGCTTTGCACCAATTAGTAAAATAGAAACTGATGTAATAACACCTCAAAGCACACTCATGACATTGAAATACAACAAAATTCATGTATGCTATAGGTGTTGCACATGAATGTCAATAATCTATTTTTAATAAATATATGATTTTAATCCTTTATTCTTCTATTAGTGCTTCTATATCTAATGATAAGTTCTAAGTACATAGAAAATGTTAGTATGCCATAGGATCTAGTGAAAAATGCTGAGTTCATTTGCAGTACATGTGATTATAACCCCTATAATAGTAGATAATGGTATGAGTATAAATGTAGCCCCTATAAGAATAGCAAAGAAAGAGAGTTTCAATTGTGTACACACAATAACTGAGAATGAGGAAAGTAAACTTTGGATTGTTAAGCCCATAAATATTCATACTCTTGCTCTGCTGATTATTTGGCTATTTTAAATGTAACCTCAGATTTTTTCCCTCCCATCTCATTATTGACATCTATTTCATAGGTAACATTTAGGGAAATGAACGCATTTGCATTTGCCTAAAATTCCAATATTAATGTCTTTCTTTTTAAGTGCATGAAATGAATTTGTAAAACAAAATGCCACATCTTTTTTGTACCACAAGATTCTGTGGCTCTCTGTTTTCAGTTCCTTTCATGACTAATGCTTCCTTTATTAAATGAACTCAGTGAACTTTTGGCATTACTCAGCAGATTCAGCCATTCAGTTATTGACTTCTCTGCTAACCCAAATAGCAAGATGAAACAATTGTAAAATAACAATCCTTCTAGAGTTCTGTAAGTATGAAATTAAGATATATGGAAGCAGAGAAGATGTTAAAAAAATATTAGTGTGTGGCATAAACAAAGAGGAGAAAAATAAACATGCACAGAAAAAACTGTGGAAGGTTCAGAAATGCATTTTTGAAGCTGTTTAAGAGGCCTCTGATTCCTCAGTTGCATCAGTCTTTTAACCTGAAAAATACAGAAGAATCAATACAATGTTCCAGTAAAAGGTAAAGAGCACACAGATAATTTAGCATGACCTTCTGGTTACAGAAAGGTCAAGGCATGGATGTATCTGTTGCTCAAAAAGGGAAGAGACTGCTCAGTGATTACAAATCTCTGGATACTGGATACACCAAAAAGACTGCAAAAGCTGGTATTCAAAATCTCCTGGGAGGCAATGCTGCTGAATTACCCACCACAAAATAATGTAGTCTACTGTAGTTTCAATAGGCATTTTTCATAGGTGATTTCTTTTTCTAAAGCAAGGTTTTGAAAAATTTAACAAACATTGTATTGCAACATAATATGCATACAGGAAATATATCAAATGTTTTATAGCTCAATGAATATTTGTAAAGTGAAAATATTTATATTACCTGTGTAAACAGGATATTACATGTACATGGTAGCAAACTTGCATCCATCTGTGGACTAACCTCTTCAAGAATGACCACTATACTAATTGTCAACAACACATATTAATAATGCTTTAAAAGTCTCTCAATAAAGACACATAAAATTTGTTTCATATTTAGTTTTATAAATGTAGTGATTGAAAGGGTTATAACTTATATAGAGAGAATTTGGAAAGGAGAAGTTCACATCGATGAAGTGTGTTTCACAAAGCATGAAACATTGTAATTTTGTGAATAAAATTTTACTCCACATTCAGAATGCCTTAAAATCCATATCATCTATATTCTTAAAAGATCCTGGGCAAGTCTCCTTTCCAGTCCAGGCCTCAATATTTTCATTTTTAACCAGATTGTGGTAATGATGTGAAACTTTTAAGTAGAATGAACTTTTTATAAGTAAGATAGATATGTGTAAAATATGCTATCATTAATTTATTCGTTTTTGAACCATAGTGCTCATACTTCATAGTAATTCCCCTTTGTAAACTTAAACTTAGATTGATGCACAGCATTGCCTAATTTGATAACATGAAGATTAAATGGTTAATAAATGTAAGATGTCCAATATAGTCCCTGGCTGAGAATGTGTTCAAAAACTCAAATTTCCTTTATTGTGTCCTCCTTCTTGTTAAACATCCCTAACATGGAGGAAGAGTCAAATTCTGTTTTGAATATCCAAAGGCCCTTGCCAGAATGAGTACTATTG